ACAGAAAAGATTTACAAAGATGTTGCCAGGGTTGGAAGGTTTCAGCTATAAGGAGAATCTGAATAGGCTGGGACTATTTTCCCTGGAGCATCTGAGGTTGAGGGGTGACCTTATAGGGGTTTATAAAATCATGTGAGGCATGGATAGGGTGAATATCCAAGGGTTTTTTCTCAGGGGAGGGGAGTCCAAAACTAGAGGGCATACGTTTAAAGCAAGAAGGGAAAGATATAAAAGGAACCTAAGGGGCAACTTTTTCATGCAGAGGGTGATGCTGTATGGAATGAGCTGCCAGAGGAAGTAATGGAGGCTGGAAACATTTCAAAAGGCATCTGGATCAAATGCTGGCAGATGTGACTAAATTAAATTATGATATCTGGTCGACTTGGATGAGTTGGTCCAAAGGGTCTATTTTTGTGCTGTACAACTCTGTGATTCTATGGCTCTAATTCCTCCTTCCCAAAAGACAATTGCTTCCCTAACAATTCTGGAAAGTTATCTGCATCTTCTTCTGTGAAGACAGAGCTGAAATATTTGTTTAATTGTTTTGCCATTTCCTTGTTTTCCATTATCAATCATCCTGTTTCAAACTGCAAGGGGTCTACATTTGTCTACAGTAATCTTTTTCTGTTTATTTGTAAAAGTCTTAACAGTCCGCTTTTATGTTCCTTGCAAGTTTCGTCTCATACTGTACTTTTCCCCTTCTAATCAGTCTCCCGGTCCGCTTGGATGAATTCTAAACTGCTCCCAATCTTCAGATTGCTACTTTTTCCAGCAACTTTATATGACTCCTTTGTGTGTATCTAATGCAATCCATAATTGCTTTGGCCACTCATAGTTGGACCACTTTTCCTGTAGTTTTTTTCCTGAAATTCACACATGTGGCATGGGCATCACTAGTTGGGCCAGCTTTTATTGCCTGTTCCTTGTTTTCCTTGAGAAGGTGGTGGTGAACTGCCTTCTTGAACTGTTGCTGTTTATGGGCTCTAAGTAGACCACAATGCCTTTAGGATCGGAGTTCCAGTGTTTTGATCCAGCAACAATGAAGCAACAGTGGTGTATTTCCAAGTTAGTGGGGTGACTGATTTGTAGATAACCTTGCAGTTGGTGGTGTTCCCATGTATCCACTGCCTTTGTCTTTCTACATGGAAGTTGTTGTGGATTTGGAAGGTGCTGTCTCAAAAGCCTTGGTGAATTTTTGCCTAAGAAAGGAATGTACAACTGTTGCAATGTGTGCATTAGTTTCTTTAATTATAATGATTTATTAGAACTAGTTAGCGGGCAATGAAGAGTTAACCATATGCCTTTTGTTTGGAATTGTAAATAGGCCAAACCATGTAAGAGTGGTGGACTTCCTTCCTACAAAGCTTTAGTGAAACCAATAATTTCATGGTAAATATTATTGGTATTAACATTTTATTACAGGTTCCCTCACAAGTCCAATCCTCTTTAGATATAAAAAGATGCCAAAGAATTGGAGAGTGCCAAATATGTGAAATCCTTGTGTGAGGATAGTCCTAGCAACTACAGGACAGTTATTTTGACATCAGTGCTGAGTGAAGCATTGGTAACAAAAATCAGGGGAAAAAAATCAACCAGTACTTGGAGAGTTTGAGTTAATTAATCCAATTAAGAAGGGTGATGAGGAAAATTAAAGAGTTAAGTCTATATGGATTTTAAGAAAGTGTTTGTCAATATTGATCAGTTGGTAAATTGGGCAGAACAATGGGAGATGGAATTTAATCCCAATAAGTGAATGGTGATGCATTTTGGGAAGTCTACGGGAAGAATACACACAATGAATGGTAGGTCCTAGGGAATAGTGAGAAATAAAGGGACCTTGGTGTACAAGCCTATAGGTCCTTGAAGGTATCAGCCCAGGTTGACAGGGTGGTGAAGAAGGCATACAGGATGTTTACCTTCATTAAACAGGGTGTAGAGTATAGGAGCAAGTCTTGTTGCACCTTTATAAAACATCAGTTAGGCCACAGATAGAACACTGTGTGCAGTTTTGGTTGTGACATTCTCTCAAGGAGAGGATGCAGAGTTACCTGCAATGAAAAGTCTCATTTATGAGGAGAGACTGGATAGGCTGGATTTGTTTTCCTTGGAGCAGCGGAGGCTGAGGGGGGATCTGAGTGAGGTATACAAAATTATGAGAGGCATAGAGATGGGAGATTGTAAGAATATTTTCCCAATGGCAGACATGTCTAAGACCAGAGGGCATACATTTAAGGTGAGGAGCAAGTGGTTTAGAGGAAATCTGAGAATTCTTTTTCACCCAGAGGGTGGTAGAAATATAGAATGTGCTGCCTGAGAGGATGGTGGAAGCAGGCTCTCTTGCAATATTTAAGAAGCATTTGGATGAGTATCTAAAATGCGTGGGTATAGCTGGCTATGAATCAAGTGCAGGTAAATGGGATTAGTGTTCTTCAACTGCACTAACTAGTCCTGATACTAGCGGTGGGAAAATGGTGACACAGTAGTGATGTCACTTGATGGGTAATACTGGTGAGTCACTTGTTCAAATCCCACCATGGAAGCTGGTGGAGTTTAAATTCAAATGATAAATATGGAATATAATGCTGACCATAAAACACTTATCAACTTTTGTTTCCAAGAAAGAGATAGTTATAGTTTTTAGGCTAAAGAGATCAAAGTTTATGGGGAACAGTGGGATAATTAGTTACCTCAGTAATGCTCTCTTCCAACCTTTTCCATCAGGCAGAAGATACAGAAGCTTGAACAAACACACTAACAGGTTTAAGAACAGCTTCTTCCCAGCTATTAGATTGCTGAATAGACCTCTCTAACTTCAAATAATGTTGATCTTGCTTCGCGCACCTCCTCTGCAGCCGTAACCTTGTATGCCTTGCTCTGTGTGATCTGTACGTCCTTGTTTGCTTTGATCTGCCTGTACCACCCGCAGAACAAAACTGTTCACTGTACTTAGGTGCATGTGACTACAATAAATCAAAACCATCATCATGGACTCAACACACTAAACTGATGATATTATCTCCCCAGTCCTCTCAGATCATTGCAGCTCTATCACTCCCAGACTATTATTAATGTCATTAATAAGGTACTGTTCAGATGTTACTGATGATTTAATATCTCTGGATTTTTCCTAATTACCAATGTTTTATTAATGAGAAAACCTCCTACAATTCAACCACTCAAAGTCTTCCAAGAGTTCTTGAGAGTTAAACTTGGAAAGCCAGCCGGTCCAAAGAAGAGTCTTATCATGCTTGAAACATTAACCCTGTTTCTCTCTCCATGAATACTGCCAGGCATGCTGAGTTTCTCCAGCACTTTCTGTTTTTATTTCATACTTTCAGCATCCACAGTACTTCACTTTTAATAATTTATAAATGAATATTCATTCATAGATCGCACATCCTTTTCAGACTTCCTGTCAGTGATCAGTTGTGAATTTACATTAGCTATATTTGTCTCTTCAACAAATATAGTTGTGCCTGTGTGACACCCTTGTCACACACATATGCAAACCACTGATCTTAAGCCAGCTGCACTAATTGTACAACACTGTCACAATACCCAAACCAGCAAAAACAGGAAGAGTTAATATTTTTTCAAAGTCTAGAAAATCCCTTATGTAGTCCATAATTTCAGAATTGGTTACCACTGTCATTCATCCCTGTAAATAGTAGGTTAGACTGGTATCGAAATAGCCCTATTTCTTATATAGGGGTTCTGGTCCTCAATACAATACTTAAATGATAAATATATATATAGTAGGAATGGTGAATTGTTTTGTATTTTACTTATTTTTTAATTCAACATTGCTCTTCATTTAATTTCCTGACCACTTTTTCCCTGTTATCTGCTAAATCTTTGAACCTACATGATAGTTACATGCTTGCATGTATTTATCCGGATTACTTAGACTATATATGAATTTTTCATAAAGTTGCACAGCCTTCAGTCTACAAAAAGTTCAAAAAAGCCTGCAAACTGTTGATGAAAATGCTGAATGTTACTGTTATCAGAGGCATTGCTAACAATTTTCGTTGACGCAAAAGGACTAACAATCGACAGCTTATTTGGAAATAATTATCACAAAACGGTTACCAAGGAAATTATACATATTTTGAAAAGAAAACATATTTGAGAAGAGATCAGCCTAGCTGCTGGTTTAACATTAAATCATCCTTTCTAGCACTGCTTTTTTGATGAAGGCATTTTGAGAAATAACATTGCAATAATTGGGAGGATTAGAAAAAAGCTACTCTAGTGAAATATATGAAAACTATAAAAGTTTAAGTGTCTGTTACTTGCTGCTGAAGATAGATTTTGAAGGCATAAATCAGGGAGGCAGTGGCAAAGCGATACTAATAATCTAGAAGCTCAGGCTAATGTTCTGGAGACGTGGGTTCAAATCCTGCCGGGGCAGATGGGGAAATTTGAATTCAATGAAGAAAATGTAGAAAAACCAGCCAAATAGTGACCATGAAACCACTGCTGATTGTCATAAAAACCCATCTGGTTCACTAATGCTATTTAGTGAAAGAAATATTTTGTCCTTACCTGCTATGGCCTACATGTGACTCCAGACCCATGACAATTGAGTTAACTCTTAACTGGCCTGTGGGTAATTAGAGAAGGGCAATAAATGCCGGTCTAGCCAGTGATGCCTACATCCTGTGAATGAAAAAAAAATTCCACAGGCAGCATAGACCATCAGTACTTTGCCAAAGGGGCTAGTCTTCTGTTGTGAGTATAGTCAGTCAGAATGCCAAGGTATTCAGTTATAGAGAGTTTGAGTACCCACATATATGACAGCTAAAGGGGCCACTGATGGCAATTCAGCAGGGTATTCTGAGGTATTATAGCATCTTCTCCTTTCATAGCACCGGATTATTTAATTGAGCACAGATGGAAACTAAATTGTTCCTGAAATACAAACACCAAAATTACATTCCCATCTAAGAAAATCCTTTATTTAGAGGAAGAATATTAAATGATAGTGGAACACAATATCTTGTAAAAAAAAAGTTGAACAGAAGTCATTTATTTTTGTATAAAAATGTTGTATTTGATATTACATTAACTCCTCAAAGGTTGCTACCTCACTTGACCAACACAAAAGGTATTTTATCTCCAGCGCATTTCAACATGTTAGTAATTTTAGCAAGTCATGCCCATGATTTTCAGAATCATTAAACAAAAACAAAATGTCAACTTACAATATCTGTTTTTGCAAAGTGTGTGTGTGTGAGAAAGATCATGCACAATGTGTGGCACAATATTAACATTAAGAAGTACATTAAAATCTGGCCAGCAAGATTACGCCGAAGGGCAAAATACAGGACCATTTCCTTTTGACTTTTGTCTAGATATATCAAACTGAAATTCTGCTTTATTCAGTGACTGTACCATCATCCTCTTGCACCAGAATGACGTTCTCATGTTCCTCAGTTGCCTTATTAGTTTTTTCTGCATTGGACATACCTGTTTCCTCTGTGTTCTTGGTTGCCACCTCTGCAGCTGGCATGTTGCCAAGCTGCTGACTGGTGTCAACACATTTACTGCTTACTTTAGCATCTATTTTTGCTTGGTTGGCCTCTTCCTCACATACACTAATTTTGCTATTTTGACATTTATCCTCACATGCTTCCTGTTCATCTTTCCTATCCACAAATATCATTGTTGCCACTGGCCTCCTTGACTATATTTTCTGCTACACCAATATTCCCAACCGTTTCCAAGCATTTCTCAGTTTCAGCATTTGTCGCACAAACAGTGTCTTGGGCTGCTTCAGCTTCAGGGGCACATTCCTTTTCGCTCCCGTCTGTTCTCAAGGATATTCCATTTTCAGCACTTTCTTTGTCACCATTACTCGCAACACTTTGTTCCTGTTTCTCATTTTCATCAGAATCTCCTGTAGAGTTCTTTACTTGTACAGTCACTTTGGCATTTTTATCTTGCAGGCAATTTTTTTCTTGCTTGCTTGACTTGTCATCTTTTATTGATTTTTTCTGGAGGCAAAGGAGAAAACAGTGTTCAGTTAATGCCAGCATTGTCTGCAGTTTTGTTTCCGAGCTACATTTCACACAATCACTGAAATTATTACGGTTGAGAAGGAAGGTATTCAACCCCTTGTGTCTGCACTAGTTTCCTGAACATTTTAACTTAGTATCATCCTCATGCCTTTTCCCCATTACCCTGCACATTCTATCTATTTAAATAATCATCCCATGCCCTACTGCATGTCTCCATTGAACCTGCCTCCACCTGTGCATTTCAAACCCGGATCTCTCACTGTCTGAATACGTGTTTTCTTACCACATGTTTGCTTCTTTTGCTCTAGTTCTTGACCTTTTTGTGAGTGGAAACAGTTTCTTTCTGTCCACTCTGTCCAGACACCATATGATCTTGAGAGCTTCTACAGTATACATATTAATGATCTGGATCTTAGTGTGCAGGGGACAATTTCAAAGGTTGCAGATGACACAAAACTTGAAAGAATTGTAAACTGTAAGGCCAACAGTGTGAAACTCCAGAAGGACATTGACAAGTTGGTGGAGTGAACAGATAGGTGCCAGATGAGGTTCAACACAGAGAAGTGTGAAGTGATGCTCTTTGATAAGGAAAACATTGAAAGGCAATATAAAATAGGGGATCAATACTAAAGGGGGTGCAGGAACAGAGGGATCTGGGTGTATATATGCATAGATCATTGAAGGTGGCAGGAGAAGTGGAGAAAACAGACAATAAAGGAGACAGTGTCTTTGGCTTTATTAGTTGAGCCATAGAATACAAGAGCAGGGAGATGATGATGAACTTTTATAAGACCTCAGCTGGAACAGTGTGTACCATTGTGGGCATCACGTTAAAGGAAAGATGTCCCAGGGATCTAAAGCCCTTCCTCCTGCACCACCTCTGCAACCACACATTCACCTATTCTATCCACTTATTTCTGCACTCACTTGCATGCGGCACACTGGGAGCAAAGTGGAGTTTACTACTTTAGAGGTCTGCCTTGCTAATTTTCTACCTAGCTCCCTAAATTACAATTGCAAGATGCAAATCTCCGCTTATATCATTAGAGCCAATGTGGACAACAACGTCTGACTTTAAGACAGAGACAGATAGGTTCTTGATTGTCAAAGGGATCAAGGGTTACGGGGAGAAAGCAGGAGAATCAGGTTGAGAAACCTATCAGCCATGATTGAATGGCAGTGCAGATTCGATGGGCTGAATGGCCTAATTTCTGCTCCCACATCTTACGGTCTTATGGTCTGTTCACTGCCCCCAGAAGAATATTCCGCAGCTGCTCTAGGACATCATTAACTAGAGTACCAGGGAGGCTATAGGCCACCCTGGATCACATTGATGGCCTGTTTCTGTAATGTAATCACCTATCAGTCTTATCAGTACCACCTCTCCAAGCTTCCTTCTTCCCTTTTGCATAGCTGGGCCACCCATGGTGCCATGGGCTTGGCTATTATTGCACTCTTCAAGGATCTATCACCCTTATTAATATCCAGAACAGAAAACCAGGTTTTGAGCATTAATTGCCTGTTTCTCAAGGGCTGCCTCAGGCTACACATTCCCTATGAAGCCAGCTATGAAGCAACCCTAAATATTTGTGTGACCACAAGACAGCAAGGTAGCATTCATTTTGAGTGGTTATTGTTAAAGAATGTGTAACCTTCTAAAGTCAGCAAACACAAGCATTTCAAATAGATTCCGTTTATTTTTTTCTGAACAGTCCACAACATTGTGGTCACTTTATTTTGATAATATTGTAACTCATGACAGCTTAAGCAAAAGAAGCATTGAATGTTTTACAGCATTTGTTCAAGTAAGTTCAAGTGGTACTTTTCAGATATTTCAGTCAGTTTTCTCTGATTTTCTTTTCCTACAGGAGCTTTCAATAAAGCCCTGTTTCCTTTAATGGTGTACTGGACTAGGATGGAGGCTATCTGTGCTGCGATGGTGTCATAACATTTATATCAAATATGAGTCCTTTTGCAAGTGGAAAGAGTTCAAATCTGTTACACATTCTATCATTTTAGAACATACTTTGCTATTACATTGATTCTTATGTTAGAATTATTTGCTTGCCATCTTGGAGCATAACAGTGTGGTTCAGGTGTATCAAAGTTCCAGAAAGAGATATAAATTATGAGAAGGATCTCCACTGTTCGTTACCAATAGCAAAATCAGAACTGTATTTTTAAAAAAATGTACATTTATAAATAGTAACCTTAAGAAATATTTCCTGCACATGATCAAAAACAAGATAATGTCAGCCATTTTCAGAATTTAAAAAATCTGCAAAGTACTTAAGGGTATATAAATTGGGCAAAATTGATTTATATTCTGATCAGCATTTTCACTTAAAAGGAGCCAATTCCACCACCAATTGATTCTCACAGTCCAATTTTTACCCCTTTCCCTATCTCCTTCATTATGTTCCATTTTCCCTAAGACGGTATGCAAAGTTATTTGGGTGGGAAGTGTGATAATTGATGGATATACAGGAAAAAGAGAAAAGCTGGCAGTAACAAGAGAGGAAAAAGTGATTTGATGGCAATGAAGGAGAGAACAGACAATGAAAAGCAGAGGCAGTGTCAAAAGCTGGGAACAGTGCCACTCAATGCAAGTATATGTTTGATGGGCACCTACAATTTCAGCACTTCAGGGGGAGGATTCAGAGAAACATGACATTGCTTTTGTATAAAGTTACCGTATTGATTACATGTTGCTGTAATACTCCCTCTGAGTAGAGAAGACAGTGACCTTTTAAATGTGAGTCAATTAGAATTTGATAATTCTTGAGTGGACTCACTTTAACAATTCAGTGGGGTGTTGAACTTGAATGAGTTAAGAAAAACTGTGCTGGACAAACAAATTGAGGCTAATATTTTAAAAGGTTTAACATACAATGACACAGCTGTGAAAATCCTTTATGAAGTTAAATTTGATGCCAAGGAAAACAAAGAGAGGAATGTAGGTCATTTACCTTTGATTCTTTTTTCTTTTCTTTGTTGGGCAGTGAGGGTCTCTGGAGAAAAACAATCTGTTTTGTAGCAAGATTCCCTTCACTGAAAAACACAGAAGGGTAGGTGTGAGTCTTTTTTGTTTATTCTCTTTTCTTATAGTAGAACTAAACTTATCAACCACAGATTAAAAGTATTTGGAGGCCATTTGTCATCAGTTACAAGTATATGTAACCTCTGCTCCAATCTATACTGTACAAATTCTTTATAAATCTGTTGCAGGTGGAACTTTTCCTTACATTTGTAATTTCCTATCCATCTGGATTCCCTAGAATGCCTTGGCAGAAAATAACAATAGGCCTAGGTAGCATAATCTTGAGCAATGAATGGAGAGGATCTAGTGGAGAGGATCTTGTTCCCCTGATTGTATACGTTTCACTTGATTCATTTATTTAGGCCTAGAGAGCTACAACTCAGGCTATCTGAAGGGTTCTTCTGCTTTGGTGACCACTTTGCAGAAGTACTTTTTCTCAATTATATGGTTGAATCCAACTTAACTCTAGAAATCCCACCACGTGAGAGCAGTGACCACAACACGAGTGGTATCAGGAGCCTGGTGAATGTGCCACAGTGCTGAAACATCAGAACCTCTACAGAAGCTTGTTGTATTTCCTTCACTGTAATACACTCTATTGGAAGTATTACTACACAAATCAACCCTTAATTGAAAAACCTCACAAATTGTTTTCAGCAATATAGCAAAATAATCACCAAGTCTGATGAAAGCAGCATGAGGGAATTTAGGTTCAAATTTGGCATATGGAATGGCAGTCATCTTTTATTGCCCCAAAGAGGTCACTAAACCTCTTGCAGGAATGAGGCAACATACATTTGCTACTGATTTTCTCTCACACATCCAATCATGTCGGTTTATTCTCTGTTGATCCCTTCTTTATCCGTTCAGCAGGAAAAAAAATCTGTTGGTCTTTACAACCCATTGCATGGTGTCCAAGAATGTATCTGTAAATTGTGGTGCGGCCTGTAGGGTCCCCAACCGGTGAAACAGTTTATCTATTATATCAATTCCCTTCCAATTCAACCAAATGGCCCCTACACCTGTAAATCATAAGGAACTACTTCATGTAGTCTGTCCCTGTAATTTAACCCTTGGAGTCCAGGCCTCATTTTAGCAAATTATATCGTTCTTTCTCCAAGGCCAAATCTGTGCTTCCTGATGTATGATGCCCAAAACTGCCCACCTTCCTCCAAGCTTGGTCTAACCAGCATTTGTACAGTTGTAGTTTGATACAACTACCTAGTGCGTATTGTTGTGGTGTTTTCAAAAGAAATAAAGGTAAAAGATTTGGGACCTAGTAACCTCAACTGACTCTGACAACTTCATGGTTGAAATCATGCTGTGCATGCTGTCTCCTAACTGTCTAAGTTCTTTAAGGTTTTACATGCTGTAGTGTGTGCAAGGGTCTAATGAGATAGGTCTTGTTGAGTAAGTAAAATGCAGTCATTGTATCTCCAGAACTATTTACAGTTGCAACAATGGGCTCTATATTACTTCAAAAACTTATGGGAAAATCTGCCCTTAGGTCTGTCTCCTACAAGATCTTATTTTACTCCCCACTGAGTCCTCAAGACGTCATCACAGTGGAAAGAGAGGGTTGCTCATTACATTCAATCCAGGCTTAAATTTTCCAGACCCATAAACAAAAGTGAGCTTGCAGCAGGGACAATTTACCTCCCTAGTAAACAAAGGCAATGTAATGACAGTACTCTTAAGGGAAACTCGGAAAGGTGTGGCCAAATCTGCAAACGTAGTTAGACAGTTATGGTTAGTGCAAATGTAAATGACGTTGAATGCAAATGCATCTCACTAGCATTCCTTCTTTCACTCCAAAAAAAAAACACAAGAGGAAGGAACAATAACTGTAGTTATCATCTGATCCATTTTTGACTTGGCAATCAAACTCTCAGTCAGGATCCTACATTACTTCCTGGAAAAGATTAGAACGTTTGTGACTATTGTGAAAGATGCACACTTTGATCATGTTTCACAGACGGGATTTTGTGCTGGGCCTTTTTTTTATTTGATTACCATCAAATTGAATATTAAAATCATGCTCTTGAAAACTCAACAGCAAAGCAACTCAATCAAGCAATATAGCCAAACAGAAGTTATCAAGCAGCTAGCTCAGTAAGTATCAAGAAAAATGGATTTTCATCCAGTTTCACAGCCCATGCATATCCATCCATGAAATGCTATGAAATGTCCTACCTGTCTCTCTTTATTATAGGAGTAGGAAGCACACAGGTTAACTGCCAACCATATGCAGCCAGAGAATTCAGCAAAGGAACATAATCTGTTTTCACCTCAACTCCCTAAAGAAATAAATAAAAAGCAAGCTATTAATGATAACCATATTGATTTTGGCCACTGATGACAATACAATTTTATTTTGAAAAGTTGGTTTTAATTTATTGTGTTCCTTTTATTATTTTTCATACAGGTTCTCTGTTGCCTTTTTTTAAAAAAAATAGTGTGGTGCAATGTTTCCAGTGAGTGGTGGAGTAAAAAGTCAATCTCTCACTCTGCTGAGTTGCCAGTCTGGACTATGTTACCATGCGGAGTACAAGATCGGAGCAGAGAAGAGATCCCCTCAGTGGCAGAGGGAAACCTGGACTGAGAGTTAGCACTGGATTTTATTGAGCTGTTTGTGATGAGTTAGAAATGGCACAGAGAAGTCCTGGAGGTAGATTCTGTCTCTCTATCACTCTCAGCTGTAGACCTACTGTTCTCAGGGTACATGAGTCCTGAAAATCTGGGCATAAAACTCTTCCTGTTGAATAACCTTGTTGAAGATTCAACATGAGGAACAAACAGAATTTCTATTTTACTTTCAAACTGATTCTTTTGCTAAATATTGTCAACGAGAGGAACTTCTTCATAACATTAAACAATGTATAATCTGCTTAAATGCATTAATTGTGTTAGTCTTAAATTATCACTATTTCCATCTCACTCATTTTTAATAGTTTTGCCACTTTAAATATTTCTCAAACAAATTTGACATTTCACTTACCACCTTTGAGATTTTCCCCTCTACTTAATTGGCATTTTGCTGTAAAACAGAAATTCCAGGACTTTGGGGAATTCAAAGCAATATGGCTGATTCTAAATGATTAAAAATGTATCTATTTAACGTTATGTGGTTTTACCCATCTAAAAGTCAACTGATCGTAGAAACTGAACCCCAAAATACAGAATAAATCTTTGCTGCTTAAAAATCAGATACATATCAATTTCTTCCTCAGTGTTGTTTTACAGGTATTGAAAACATTTAAATAACAAGCTAATTAAATATAGTCACTCAGAGAGAGCAAGAACTGCAGATGCTGGAGTCAGAGTCAATACTGTGTGGAGCTGGAGGAACACAGCAGGTCAGGCAGCATCAGAGGAGCAGGAAAGTCTCCTGACCTGCTGTGTTCCTCCAGCTCTGCACTGTCTTGACTAATTAAATATAGTGCTGGATCTTTATGGCGGGCATAATCCATTAGCATCTGAAAGCTGCTAATTTTGTATTTTCATCAAAACACTGATATTGTCATATTTCTCTCCAACCTTTGAGATATAGAATCCCTAGACTGTGGAAGCAAGCCATTTGGCCAAGCGAGTCCACTCCAACCCTCCAACGAGCATTCCACACAGACCCAGACCCACCCCCAACCCTATTCCTGTAACCTTGCATTTCACATGGCTCATCTAACAAACCTTCACATCCCAGAACACTACAGGCAATTTAGCACGGCCAATGCACCTAACCTGCCCATCTTTGGACTGTGGGAGGAAACCGGAACACCCAGAGGAAACCTACACAAACACAGGGAGAATGTGCAAACTCTGCACAGACAGTTGTCTGAGGCTGGAATTTAACCTAGGTCCCTGGCACTGTGAGGCAGCTACTAACCCACCGTGCTGCCTTATAATGAGTACCAGGAGTGCTATTATTTCCAAGCATGATAATTCCCATTTGCCTGCAGGGACCAAAATGGAGTGCTATGGTTCTTTCAAATAATTGGTTATGATGGTACTTTAATGAATCAGGTTTGTCATTGTATTTTATAAATACTTTCCTTCTGATCACATATGAACTTCATCCAATTGTCAACAGCCCAGATGAAATTTGTAACAAGTGGACTTCATTTAAGGAATGTGGTCATCACAGGCTAGCTCAATATTTATTTCCTACCCCTCACTGCCCTGGAGAAAGTGGTGCCAAGTTGACTTCGTGAATTGCTGCGATTCATTTAGTTTACATAGACCCATGATGCCATTATCCAGCATTTGAACCAGCAACACTAAAAAGAATATTGATATATTTCCAAGCCAAGTTGGTGAGTGACTTGGAGCAGAACTTGCAGATGGTGGTGTTCCCATGTATCTGCTGCCTTTCCTTTCCTTCTAGATGGTAGTAGTTGTGGATTTGGAAGGTGCTGTCTAAGGAGCATTAATGAATTTCTGCAGTGCGTCTTGTAGATGGTTTATACTACTGCTACTGAACCTTGGTGGTGGAGGGACTGTTTTAACTGCACTAAATCTGGATGGTGTCAAGATTCTCGAGTGTTGTTGGAGCTGCACCCATATGCTAAATCAGACATTAACTCAAAAGCTTAACAGTAAGCTTCTGTATTTGCGTGGGGCTTGTCAGATTTAGTGCAGTTAAAACAAGATTTGATTCTAGTAAAACCCATTCAGGTGTCCAGGAACATCTAAGTCCAAGAAGAATGCATACTGGGAGAACAGGGATACATCTGGAAATGAGATAGCAAGAACTGCAGATGCTGGAGTCAGAGATAACACAGTGTGGAGGTGGAGGAACACAGCAGGCCAAGCAGCATCAGAGGAGCAGATAGGTGGGAGAGAAGGTGGACAGATTGTGTCAGGTTGTGTCAGGTCAATGAGGTGGGGATGAGAGGGAGGGTTGGTCATGGGATGAGGCCGGGGGTGGGGAGGTTTTGAAACTAGTAAAATCCACGTTTAGGCCATTGGGCTGTAGGCTCCCAAGGTGGAGTATGAGGTGCTACTCCTCTAGTTTTCGTGTGGCATCATTGTGACACTGGAGGAGGCCCAGGATGGACATGTTGCCCAGGGAGTGGGAGGGGGAGTTGAAATGGTTCGCGACCAGAAGATGTTGTCGTTTGTCACGAACAGAGCGCCTCCGGCTGGTCTCACCGACGTAGAGGAGGCCACATCAGGAGTAGCGGATGCAATAGACCACATTGATGGATGTGCAGGTGAACCTCTGTCTAATGTGGAAGGTTTGTTTGATGCCTTGGATGGAGGTGAGAGGGGAGGTGTAGGGGCAGGCGTAGCACTTCCTGCAGTTGCAGGGAAAGGTGCCCGGTGTAGTGGGTTAGTGTGGAGTGTGGAGCGGACGAGGGAGTCGCGGAGTGAGCGGTCCCTACAAAAGGCAGATAGGTGTCGCATTGCAGGTGGTGGAAGTGGTGGAGGCTGGTGGGGTGATATGTAAGGACAAAGGGGATTCTGTCTTTGTTTTTGTTGCGGGGAGGGGAGGGGATGTGAGGGCAAAAGTGTGGGAACGAAACTGCTCCCTTCCCCCTCCCCATTTCTGAAGAAGGGTCCCGACCCGAAACGTCAACATTCCTGATCCTCTGAGGCTGCTGAGACTTCTGAAATGCCTGAATTTGTAAAATAAGAGACTTGATGGAAATAGGGTTGTGGTAAATGTATTCGCAAATGTACAATGTTCATAATGGAAAATGCTTGAGTGAAGATATCCTATAAGGCTCTGAAAGGGTTAAGGCTTTACATTAAGCACTGTACAGAACGATTTTGTCAACGGACTTAGGCAGACGATTAACTTTGGATCTGGAAGGTGCGATATCTGACATCAAGGTCTCTGTCAGTATCAGCAACAACATCTTTCACAGCAAAGTAATTTATGCACAGTTGGAACCAGCTCCAAAAGCGTAGACTGCCCTTTGTTTTAGTTTTCAACATTGTTTGCAATGGAAATCACAACTAAACCCACCGTTATAGTAAATGTAATAGTCATTTCAAGGTAGTTGAACTCAAACTTCGAGAAGTTTTACTTATGTATAAAGTACATAAGTACTTGTGCATTACTTGTTTCCTGATTGTGTGCCTGGATCTGAATGCACATAAGTGAAGAACAAGTTAAATATCCATGTTCCTGCTTTCAGAATATTTAGTTCTGTCTTAATTTCAGGCATGATAAAATTCAATGTAGCGCAGGATTTACTTTTGAAATCATGATGGAGTAAAAATAGACTGAAGACTAAACAAAGAAGAAAAGATTAATCTACAATTCAGGGAGCAGAGGCCATGTAACATGATGTCATCAAGCATTAGCGATCTTTCTCTCATCTGCTGATTGAGCTGATTCAATTTCGTGTAGACAATAATGGATGAATGTTTGCTTTGCAGATATTAATCTTAATTTGTACTGCACAATAAAATTCCCATTCTTAGCATGAATTCCCAGTGAGCTCAATATTTAAACAGAAAGAATATGACTAGGAAATCACATAACCCTGGTTCTAGTGTATTTACTGCACATACACATGCAGAACATTGTGTCAAAACAGGAAGCTCCCTGTGGTTTTTTTATGGTACATCTGAAGCAACCTCTAACACCGTCTGAATACTGTATTATTAAGAACAAGTTATTAATTATTTACATTGTTTAAAAGCGTGCAGCTTTTGTCTGTGTATGACCTACATAAAATAGCCGCAGTTGTCAACTTTAAACTTCACACGACAGATCTAATCCCCATTCAACTCTACAAGGTTGAATCTATTCCTCAAGGTAGCCCACTTATCTGTGAAGTGACTCATAGAGTCATATCAGATGTGATGTAAATTAACGATAAATGAAAGATTCTCAACTGGAAAATCAAGTACCTTCCCCTCCCCTCCTATCCCCCACCACCCCCAAAAGGCTGTTCTTATTTTGGTCTTCCTGAACAGGTGCTTCCACACCTCAAGACCCCACTGCATCGAACAATGACTCCAAATTTCCTACATGACCCCTGAGCTCCATCACTACAGTCTGGCTATGCCTACCTATCATTGCAATGGCACTGCCCTCACCCTGCGCACCACCAAACCATTCCAAAGTTCAATCGATAGACCTCACCATCCCTCAACCATCTTTGATAGAAAGTCTGGTGAATGTCTGACTGCTCTTCTTGCAGTTCCCGAATGACAATCCATAGGTCCCTTGACCATTTGTACTGTTGACTGCATTGACTGGCCATTTAGGCGAAGCACAAGCTGTATGTCTTTGCAATGCAGACAGCTGGCACATGTTCTAAATGTGAGATTGAGGTAAGTTAGTACCTTACAGTCTGCGCCTACCCCTATTTTGATCGCTACTGTCAAGCAGACTGGCTTTGTGTCTGCACTAAACAGTTTCAGTTCCAGTGCCAATGCATGACAAGGCACAGCAAGGCATGGCTGTGATCATCCAGGTGGGCACTAGGTGAGTGAGCACGGAGACCAAGCAAGCTGGGTTCCAGCCCCTGAAGCATTTCAATGATAGTTGCCAGTGTGCCCTGAGGTGCAGTTTAAAGTGTAGAAGCATCCTGAGAGTGGGTAAGAGATGTGCCATGATGGCACAGAGAGGCTGTTGTATGTCAGATGCCAGTGACAGTGGACGTGGTGTGCAAGCAGCTGGTGCCCTGGAGCGTGCCCTGAAAACTTGGCGCTGGTGTTTAAGATAACAGTCTGGAGGAACAAGTAGTGAGCAAGAGTTGCCAGGTGCCTTTCATGTCAGGAATCCTTGGCAGGGAGTTTCTATCTTGATTGCTAGGAGGCTGCGTTTTGAGATGAAATAAGATTTGCTATTAATGAGAGTGATAGGAGCAATAATCCCCATTAATATGCATCTCATCTGACTGTTCCCTTTGTGAGAATTTTCTCACAATACCAGAACTCTGTTGGAGAATGCAACTAACTGCTCCAATCTCAAGAAAGGTCTCATTTGACTTTATTTGTGATTCTCGCAAATTTCCTGCCATAGCTCTCATTGTTCAAGGCTCTATAACATTCCACCCATTGACTTCAATACAAAATTCCCATGTACTAAAACATCCCATGGATATAGCATTTAATCAATAAGTAAATGTGGCATTATAACACAGTTGTGACTTTACTGCTCCTGTATTATTTGGTTGCAGCATTAATTAAAATATCAAAATGAGAACTTGCCACATATCCTTTACTTCATTTATATTTCTTTGAATGAGTTAAGATTCAAGAAGTGATTTCAGATCATGCCTGTTGCAATCAGTTTCAGTAATGGGGTAAAATAGTCTAGTTGCTGGCCATTGCATACTTGCTGGGAATTTTTTCAAGTGTTTGTACTGACATGTTTAAACGCCTCAAATGACCAACATCACTTTCCTCCACATCTACACACTGTATAAATTTGTTTGACTTATTCAAGTACCATAGTAAAAACAGGGAGTTCCGAGTGATACACAAATAGAACTCCATGTTAAATACACAGTTTTTTCTAAACAATTAGAGAGAAACAATAAGGCAGTTTCTAAGCCAGATCCTCACCATACTTATCTCTTTGAATACACATTTACTCTAATTCAAACTATGTCACTGTGTGTAAGTAAAAAGAGAATTGTTATAATATGGTAAGTATAGAGTTAATGTCAATTACATTTTCTGCCTATTTATACTGAGTGATGGGGAATCTAGCCCTAATGTTATTTTAAGCTGCCTGCTTCCTCTAAAATCAATGATGTCACCAAATTGCCGGGAACATTAACAGTTTTCTTCTAATCTAATGAGAGAAACATTACATGGAGAGATTCTGTCTATTGAGTGAACAAGGAATACAGTAATTGCTTATTTTATTGAATACTATAGGTGCAATTTTCCGTGTCTTTTAAGTGTGGGAAAGAGAGTGTTAGAGCTAACATGTCATCCCCACCACTGAGAACACTCATTGAGAGCTAACAGGCAGAACATAGCTAAGTTTCACAAGGAATTGCAGACCTCAACATTGGCAACCCTAGTTGACATAGCTGGCAATTTCCGACTCCTAAAATATACCCCTTAAGAATGAGAAAGTGAGTACATTTTAATACTCATTAAATGGGTTGGAGATAGAGGATTCAGACTCATTGTCAGGGGGATGTCTTCCAGAGGTAGAAAAAAAAACACAAATACAAAAACTAGGATGAAAGATAGAGAGAAAAGCTAACACAAGAATAAGAGACCAGGAAGAGAATAGCACATCAGGGAATATGATGGTTTTGTTGAATGTCATGACATATCAACAGGTTAAGCCCAGAGAATAAAACTAGACTATGACAGTGAGATACAAGTTAGATTGAGAGAGGACACAGAAGTAGTGACAGTTGTTTTTCAGACAGCAAAAACGTTTTCAGTGGAGTTCCCTAAGGTTCAGTATTAGGACCACTGCTTTTATTCACTAATATTAATTACTTGGTCTTAGGTGTACGGGGCACAATTTCAAAATTGACGGTAACATAAAACTCTGAAGTATTGCAAACTTTGAGAAGGGTAATAACAGACTCCAAGAAAACATAGCCAGGTCGGTGGAATGGCCAGACAGGTGGTAGGTGAAATTTAACACAGAAAACTGTGAACTACTTTGGTAGGAAGGATGAGGAGCAGCAATTAATACCGAAATGTATAATTCTCAAGTGAATGCAGGAACAGAGGCCTAAGGGTTCATGCATGAAAATATTTGGAGGGGGCCAGGCAGGTTGAGAAAACAGTTAAAAATAGGGATTATTAGCTTCATAAATCAAGGCATAGAGTACAAAAGCAAGAAATTATGATGACCCTAAAACATTGGTTTGGTCTCAACTAGAGATTTTAGACCCATGCTTTTAGAAGGACGTGATGGTGCTGAAAAGATTTATGAAAAATTATCCAAGGAATGTGGAACTTCAGTTACCTGGAGACACTGGGGTTGTTCTCATTAGAAAAGAGAAGGTTGGCAGAAGTATTCAAGATCATGAGGATGGTATAAAGAGTAGAACTTTTTTCCATTGGTGTAAAGGTCAAGAATTAGAGTACGGATTTGATATGATTTGTAAAACAACCAAAAGGGTTGTCCTGAGGGAAAGCTTTCCTTAAAATAAATGAAGACTGTGCTTAAGATCTAGAATGCTCATCAGAAAGGGTGATGGAAGCAGATTTAATCGCGACTTTCAAAAAGCAATTGAATAAAACACAATGAGAAGGAAAAATTGGCAGGAAAAGGACAAGGAAGTGGAACTAGCCTGAATTTCGCTAACGGAGAACCTGCATGGACTCGATAAGCTGGATGATTCCTTTTGTGTTATGACCATTCTATGCTTCTAAGGTAATCTATCACAAATTATGTTTACAAGTATCTTCATTTGTTGTAGATATATTTTGCTTATCATCAAATGTGCTGAATTATTAGCAGGTAACACACATGTAAAATTTTCTACACAATGGGTACAAATGGTTGAAATGCAGAGACCTATACATTCCTTGCATTGACACTTACATTAATCACTGTCCATTGCTCGACAACAATGGCATCATAGCTTTCACACTTGTCCTCAGAAACTCCTTCAAATATAAAGAGCCCATCCACTGATTTCGGTACAGAATCTGTTCAAACACGACACATTTCTGCTTGGTTAATCAACTTTCATAATACTAATAAAGAAACGCAAAATTTATCAAAGTATCTGATAGCAATGCAGCCAGAAGTATAATCCTGTTTGGGGATTAAGAAAATAAGTGAAAAGACTGAGCCAGCAAAACACAAATAAAAAATAAGGTTGTAAAGTGCCCAGTCAAAAGATAAGGTACTGTTCCTCAATCGTGTGCAGTGAACTTCATTGTTACACTGCGTAAGCCAAGGACAAAAAGAGTGTGAGGGTATTGAAGTGACAGGCTATAGGAAGCTCAAGCATTATAGAATCCCTACAGTGTGGAAACAGGCCATTCAGCCCAACAAGTCCACAGCACCCCTCTGAAGAGCATCCCATCCAGACCCATTCCCCTAGTCTAACCTAACTATCCCCAGGCACTACGGGCAATTTAGCATGGCCAATCCACCTAGCCTGCACATTTTTGGACTGTGGGAGGAAACTGGAGCACCCAGAGGAAACCCATGCAGACACAGGGAGAATGTGCAAACTCCACACAGCCAGTCACCCGAGGCTAGGATTGAACCCAGGGCCCTGGCGCTGGGAGGCAGCAGTGCTGACCACTGAGCCACCGCGCCACCCTCAAAAAGATGCCTAGTCTGCAGCTGGGCTCCCCAGTGCTGAAGAAAGCAAATCACAAGCAGTGAATATAGGATACTAAACTGAAAGAAGTACGGTTGTGGTAAATTGAAGATTTTTGCTTGATACATGAGAATTGAAAGAGAAAACAATGAAGGTAAACAAAGTAAAACGGCAAATGGAAATCCCATGGGCAAGAAGAACAGAACTTCTTTATAATGAACATTTCTGGAAGAGACATTGCAGTGAATTAAAATAACAGTCCTTTTATCACAGCAATTATGAATGTCCAAAACAAAAACCCTGCTGGTATTGTTTCTTGGAATTTGATGCACAGTAAAACATCATTATCTTTTACAACCAGTTAAAGGTTGCACATGTTGCTTTTATATTCCCATTGACTTAAGAACATTCCAGAATTGTAATTGAAGCAAGTGAATAAAGTAAAATAGATTAACAGGATAGGGAAAGAATAGGGAGCATGGAATAATGCACAGAATTCTTTACAAGCATGAACATACAAATTACGAGAGGGAGTAGGCCATTTGGCCGCCCAGGCTTGCTCCACCATTCAATAAGATCACTGGTCATCTGCTTGTGGACTCAACTCTACTTCCCTCTTTGCCTTCAATGTCCTCTGACTTTCTTATTAATTAAGAGTCTGTCTCTGCCTTAAACAGACTCGAGGACCCTGCCTTCACCACACTGTGGGGAATGGTTGAGATTATCCCCTCTGGTCAGCCCCCTAAGAGTCTTGTATGTTTCAATAAGGGCACCTCTGTTCTTCTAAGTTCTAACTGTACAGGCCCAACCTACTCAACTTCTCCTCATAAAAAAATCTTTCTATGCATAGGATCAACCAAGTGAACTTTCTCTGGACTACCTCCAATTCCAGTATATTCTTCTTTAGATTATAGGCCCAAAATTGTTCACAATGCTCCAGCTGTGGTCTGACTAGAGCCTTGTGTAATTTTAGTGAAACCTTCTTACTTTTATCCTCTGTTCCCTTGGAAATAAAAGACGACATTTCATTTATACCTGCTCAACATGCATGCTAGCTTTTTGTGATTTACATACGAGGTCCCCTTGGACCTGCTCTACCATTCAATAGGATCATGACTAATCCAACATTCCTCACACTCTGATGAAGAGTCACCAGACTTGAAACATTAACACTGCTTTCTTCCCACAGATGTTGCCAGACCTGCTGAGTTTCTCCTGCAATTTCTGTTTTTGTTTCAGATCTCCAGGATCAGAAGTTATTTGTTTTATTCCTCAGATCCACTTTCCTATTCTTTTCCCATAATCCATGATTTCCCCTATTGATCAAGAATCTATCTATCTCAGCCTTAAATGTTCACAAGGACACTGTCAATGACAAGCAGTTCTAAAGATTCTCAATTGTCTGAGAGAAATTCTTCCCCATCTCAGTCTTAAATTTGTGTCCCTTTATTCTGAGACTATGCCGTTTGGTCCTAGATTCTCCCGTGAAGGTAAAAATCCTCTCGCATTTATCCTGTCAAGTCCCTTAAGAATTCTCTATGTTTCAATGAGATCACCTCTCATTCTTCTAAACTCCAATGAGTAGAATGCAATCTGTTTAACCTTTGCTCATAAGACAATCCTCCTAAAGCAAGAATCATCCAAATGAATCTTCACTGAAATGCTTCCAATTAAATAACATCTTTCCTTAAAGAAGGGGACCAAAACTGCACACAGTCCTCCAGATGTGGTCTCAACAGCACCTTGTACAGTAAGGCTTCCATACTTTTACATTTCAACCCCCTTGAAATAAGGGCCACTCTGAATTTTTTCCTGCAAGATTATTACCAGTGCATTCATTATCTCTGGAGCAACTTCCTTTGATATCCTCAGAGGCAATCCATCAGGTCCAGGGGATGAAAGGACCTTTAGTACTATTAGCTTTCTTGTATTTTCTCTGCTGGTGATAGTTATCATATTTATTTTCTGCTTGATTGAGTATTTTTGGAATGCCATCAGTGTCTTTTGCCATGTAGGTTAAATCAAAGTATATATTCAATATCTCTGTAATTTCCCAGTTTCCCATTATATTTCCCCAGCCTCATTCTCTAAGGGGCTTATGTTCACTTTGTTCTCTCTCTCCCTTGTTATATATTTAAAGCTTTTACTATCCTAGAGTATATTACTTGCTAGTTTATGCTCACGCAGTTGATTTTCTCCCTCTGTTTATTCACCTTTTGTTAGTTTTCAATCTTGCCACATGCTCTGGCTAATCTTTGTCACACAGTTGTTTTTATTTTCTTTTCATTTGGTACTATTCTTAATTTCTTTGGTTAACCATTTTTGGTTCATTCCTCTCTTAGAAACTTTCTTCCTCACTGGAATATTTGTTTGTTGTGAGTTATGAACTTTTCTTGAATGGCTGATATTGTTTACCAACGTTCTTTACTTTCGCTCAACTCCTTTCTAATCAAATCCATACAACTCCACATTTCTTTACAATTAACTTTATTTAAACTTAGTATAGTAATTTCTAGCCTAAAGTTCTCACTCTCAAACTCAATATTAAATTCTACCATGTTATGCTCACTGTTTCCTCAGGGACCCTTTGCTCAGATCATTTATTAAACCACATTACCAGATCCCTGATTGGATTTACAGCATTTTGTTCTAGGAAATGGCCCCAAATACACTTAATAAATTCTTCCATACACATATTTCTGCCAATTTAATTTATCCAATCTAATGAAGATTAAAGTCACCCATGATTAGTGCACTGTCTTTTTTATGTGCCTTCAGTTATCTCCTGACTTTTTTTTTCATATTCATTTGTGGGACGTGGGCGTCGCTGGCTGACCAGCATTTCTCGCCCATCCCTTGTTGCCGTTGAGATTGTCTATCGACAGTGTAGACACTATTAGTTGGCCTGTAGAGTACTCCCACCAGTGTCTTCTTGCCTTTGTTATTTTTTACTGCCACTATATGGATTCCACATCTTCCAATCCAAGATCATTTCTTGTTATTGCACTTATTCTATCTTGCACTACCAATGTTATCTAAACAACCTCTTCTTCCACCCTATCTTTTCAAAAAATCACAATTCACTGAATATTTAGCTCCTAGCTACGATGCCATTATAACCATGACTCTATAATGTCGATATTATTATATTTAGTAATTTCTATTTGTGCTGTTAATTCATTTATTTTGTTCTAAATACTACTTACATTTAAATAAGAGCCATTCATTTTGCCTTTTTACCTCCTTGAACCTGATTTGTTGCTTTTCTTTTTATGTCTGCACACTCTGTCCTTTCCTGACCCTCTTGGGATACCATAACCTAAATATCTGCCCTGTAATGCTACCATGTCCTTTCACTTCTCTCTCCAGAACCCTCTCATTTTAGTTAGTCAAATTACTCCTACTTTTAATTTGTACATTTGTAGGTTCTACGTCTGTACTCTCAGACACCATTTGACATCAAGAGAATGGGTGATGTTCAATCTAACATGAATTTTAACTACTGCAGAACAATTACCTCTACAATAGTGAATGAATAAACATCAAAACAAACTAGGTTGAGCATATCAGTGGTGTCAGGAAAAACATCTAAAGTAACTGCCATTGTGGAGTGTAAAAGTCACTTTTAAGTTTACTTTCTATATTAATTTCACGTTTAATTACTTTAATTTTCCATTTGATATGCCTTCTTAGCTTATGCCATTACACCCATTTGGTGCATAGTGTACAAAAGTTCCTAATAAGAGAGCAACTGAAAATTAGAATGTTTTTGTTAAGTGTATTCCACACCGAATTTGCACCAGTAATAACATACCATATGTCTTCCACAACAAATCATAGTATAAAAATCCCAGGTCCCTTATTAAGTATTATAAACATTGCTAATTACAGTTTTCACATGGAAAAAGATAGATCCTTTACCGGCCAATGTTCCCAGACAAATCAAAGCATCCACCAACAAGGCTCCCTTTGTGAAGTGTTGGGTCATGTGCTCTAGCCAATTTGCTTCTATACTGTTAATATCCTGTCCCTTCTTACAGATCTTCAGTGGAATTGTGACTGTGTAGTACTTGTAAGATTTCTGGCTTTCTTGTTTATTGAAAAGGAGGAACACTTCATTCTCTGGAAATAAACAAAATTAGTTATGTAAACTGAAAGACATTGGAATAGCAATTTTAAACATCCTGTATTAACATCATTGTATTATTTATGCTGGGATGGGTGTAACTGATTTGAAAAATAAACCATTGATTTCTATTATAGGAGAAACAATGAAAATCAGCATCTACAGGGACTACTCCAAGATCCTTAAAGTACAACTAAAAAACTATTACAATATTTCTGTTCAACCAGGAATTATTCATAAAGATCTGCACTCCACTAGAAGCTATTCTTAGACCACCAAAGTGTGATTTTGCTGGTTTTTATTTTGAAACTGCTAAAAGCCTGGAAGTACTAAAAGTTGCATTTCAATGTTCGCTTCCAAACTATTGTTTCTGATATATGCAGATGTGACATTTCAGAGGCATTATATTTAAACAGCACATGTTTACCTCCTTAGTTTATGCTATACTATCCATTTGTTACATAGTGTACAAAGCTCCCAAATAGATGAGGATTTCTATTGGGGGATGTTTCCTCATGAAAATAGTATTTCCCCTAACAATACAGTACCAACACCACTGAGGAAACCTCTAGTGAACATTTTCAATATTGTGTTATGATTTATACCAAGTTAAATGGTAACACTCTGAACCCAGCAGGAGTTTTTTTTTTAATTTAACTTCTTGTATGTTTCCTGTTCAATTCAACTACATCAGAATGTAGTTAAGAGTTAACCATGATAGTATGTGACTGGTATCAGAGACCAAGAGACAGCAGTTCTAGTTATAATTATCTAACCAGATTGTGCTGGATTTTTGTTTTGCGATCTGGGCCCTGACCTTGGATGAAATTCCAAGTCCCTACCCCATGTCAGATATGAAACATTCAATTCGACTTTTGTATGGATAGCAGCTAGCAGCATGTTTATTGCCTAATTATGGACGGTGGGCAGACTTATGAACTGGAGAACAAATAGAAGGCCTCACAATGAGGGCAAAAATTTTCAATTTTAAAGCCACAGTTGCCACATCTGTGGAGGGGAAACCCTTGACTGAATGATCTCCAGCCAGCAGCTTGGTGGCTATGCTGAGGGATGGACAACAACAAGAGGGCATAGATTTACAGTGATATCCAAAAGAAGCAACGGTGATGTGATTAAAAAAAAGTTTTTCATACAGCGAATAGTTGGGATATGGAATGCACTGTGTGGAAACATGGAGGAGGCACATTCAATTGATTGATTGATTGATTGATTTTATTGTCACGTGTACCGAAATACAGTGAAAAGCTTTGTTTATAAGCGGTCCAAGCAGATCACAGCAACCAAAGGACGTACAGATCAAAAAGACTTAGAGGCATACAGGTTACATTGAAGGTTACATTATTTGAGGGTAAAGTCCATTTAACAGTCTGATAACAGCCGGAAAGAAGCTGTTCATGAACCTGCTCATGCGTGCGCTCAGGCTTCTGTTGCAACTGTTTGTTTTCATGTCTAAAGAATGAGGCATTTACAAACTTTCAGATCATTGCATTTAAATAGATCTTAGCTGCACTTCAAGCATATCTATGTCCAGTATAGAAATTTGTGACCCCCACACTGCAGGTTAAGGCCCTTGCAACATCCCAATTTGGGTCTATTTGACAGAGCACTAAGTTCAGATGGTCCTGACTTTGGATTTCCTATCTGTGTGGCTCATGCCCTATCTTCTTCCTTCATGCCAGGCAAAAATTGGATTTGTTGGAAATAGTGGCAAGTGTTTCATACTTGGGTTCTGCCCACCATTTTTAAAAGTATGTGGAATTTTCCTAGTGCCACAAAAATCCAGTCTTTAGTTTTATATCCCATCTTTAGACTGTTAATTCTCAATGTTACACACCAGTAGAAGACGATTTGCCAGTTTTTATGACTAAGTCCTCAAAGTCTGCATTGCTAAAATCTGAGACAGATTGATATGCATTCCTTGAGACAGTCAGATGGTCGTAATGGAAATATTCAGTGAAATATACCAATTTTACTGTGTTCATAATGTTCAGATGTTAATGTTATTAAGAATATATGGAGTTAAAACTATAGAATATAGCCTGATCTTGAAGCAGAATTGTTTGTTTCTTCAAACCAAATGACAATATTGTCAAGATCAATATGCATGCTCAAGCCTGTTGCAGAGGTATGCCAATATTTATTTATATTTTACATTACACACATTATTGGCACCATTAAATATCTAAAATCAGAATTTGGAAGCAGATTTTGATCCCTGAAATTTATGAGTCTGCATATGCAGCATATTGTACCTGATTGTCCTTTCCAACTAATTTTCTTGTTGTTAATGGCCTGGAAATAGCTAACATATGGCCTGTCTGTACAAACATCTGTGAAATAAATAAAATAATGCCTGATAAATCAAAACCACATGATCATAGCGTGCACAATGCATGAAAAAATGCAATTTGCTAGTTTAGGGGTTGCTGCAGCTTATAGAAATCTCACAGCTATAAAAGTTGCGCAATTTCACATTAGAGTCTGCTTTATTACTGTCCCTTTTGAAACTTATTGTTCATCAAGTGAGCAGAAAAAACAAATTATTTTACATTGATAGACAGGAACACAGCATTGTTTTTACTCCAATACACAACATTTATTGTACTAATATTTCCAAGGGAATATTTATAGCATTAAAAGAAACTAAGGAAGATTTCTCCGAGAACTATGCGTAATAATAAAGTAGATTCTTGGAGGATATTTCACCTCGTTGCAAAGTCTAGAACTGAGGGCCATTGTCTCAGGATAATAAGGAGGATTCAGACATTTAGGGTCAAATGGAGGAAAAGTATCTCTACTCTTCACCTAAAGACCTATGGATGCTCAGTTGCTGACGATTTTCAAGTTAGAGCTTGACAGATTCTTGGAATGTGATTGAATTAAAGCATTGGGGTCATGGAATAAAATGGCATTCAGCAGAAAATCAGTAGTGACCTTACTGAATGGCAGAACAGGCTTGAAGAGGTAACATGGAGCTGGATGAATACACCAGGCCAGGCAGCATCAGAGGAGCAGGAAAGCTGATGTTTTGGGTCTGGACCCTTCTTCAGAAATGGGGGAGTGGAAGGGGGCTCTGAAATAAATAGAGAGGGGGAAGCAGTGATAGAAGGTGGATAGAGGAACAAATAGGTGGAAAGAAGACGGACAGGTCAAGGAGGTGGGGATGAAGCTAGTAAAGGTGAGTGAGAAAAGTGAGAAAAGACGAACAGGTGTTGTCATTTGTTGCAAACACTAAGCGGAGGCTCGGAGACCGCTTTGTGGAACACCTACGCTCGGTTCGTGACAAACAACAACACCTCCCAGTTGCGAACCACTTCAACTCCCCCTCCCACTCCCTGGACGACGTGTCCATTCCTGGGCCTCCTCCGGTATCACAATGATGCCACCCGAAAACTGGAGGAGCAGCACCTCATATTCCGCCTTGGGAGCCTGCAACCCAATGGTCTCAATGTGGACTTTACTAGCTTCAAGATCTCCCCACCGCCAACCTCATCCCAAGACCAGCACCCCCCCAACCCTACCTCCTTGACCTGCCCTTCTTCTCTCCCACCTATCCGCTCCTCCCACCTCACTGACCAACCCCCACCCACACTTCCTACCTACACTCACCTATTAGCTTCATCCCCGCCTCCTTGACCTGTCCGTCTTCTCTCCCACCTACACGCCCCTCCCTCCTCACTGACCAACCCCCATCCCAACTCGCTACCTACACTCACCTTTACTAGCTTCATCCCTGCCTCCTTGACCTGTTCATCTTCTCTCCACCTATCTGCTCCACTATCCACCTTCTATCACCGCCTCCCCCTCTCTCTATTTATTTCAGAGCCCCCTTCCCCTCCCCCATTTCTGAAGACCCAAAAATTCAGCTTTCCTGTTCCTCTGATGCTGCCCGGCCTGCTGTGTTCATCCAGCTCCACACCTTGTTATCTCAGACTCCAGCATCGGCAGTTCCTACTAGGTCTGAATGAGGCTTGAAGAGGCTTTGGTCCCATCCCTAATTCTTACTTAGACAGCACAATAGTCAACATTTCTCATAAATGTGTTTACAATTTCGTTAGACAATAATAAATACAGCATTCTGCATCTATATTTTGACATTAATAAAGAGATTGACTGTTTTGTTTTAGCTCTGGCCTTTACGCTCAAGAAACTGAGGGAGACTTAAGACACTAAGATGTGTATGGGACATTAATGATAGTTGGTACCTAATTGTGAACAGTAATTTGGACATCTGTTTCACAAGCGAAAATCAATATCACCTGCTCTGCAGTCTTGATATCCCTCCAAAAACTCTTTGTACATTTCAACCCACCTTTTACAGTACAGTAAAGGCAAGATTTACTTCAGAACTTACAACTTTCATCACTTGCTCTCCCATCCCCACCAATTTCTTATTTAGTGTCTGCCATTGTCAGAAGTCTTTGGGATCTTTCATTACCTGAAAAACGCTATATAAATACATGTTCTTTTGGTACTTCATTCTATACACAGCTAAGATCAATAATATTATGCCAATAGGGGTTTATTATCAGTGTGAGTTGGTTAGTTAGCTTATCCTCAGTACATTTGATTTACTGCATGTCAATATTCTTACACAGATGGAAGGATGCTGATGGAGGAATGCTTTTAGAATTTGAATTAGAATTAGACTTAGGTTTTATTGTCATGTGAACTCAAGTTTAGCAATACAGGAGTACAGTGAAAGGTATACAAAGTTGCCATTGTATGGCACCATCTTAAAATACAATATACAAAACCAGAATTTAAAAAAAAAGAAAATAAAAGAAACAGAGCCAAAAGAAAAAGAAAAACATCCAGATCTTAAAGTCCTTATCCAAAAGAAAAGAAAAAAATCCAGATTTTAAACTCTAATCTCCCTGGGCCTATCCCTGGCCTGGAGTTTCAGTCAGCCTCCTCCTGGGACATGCTCCACCAATCGCCTTAGCTGCTGCCAATGCTGCCACGATTGCCAGGG